ATGTCATATATTTAGTATTTTTTTTTATTACCATTGACATTGTTATTATCCTAACCCTTTTTTTGTCAGTCATCTTGTTGACTTCATCATTTTTTTTTTAAGAAAGTAGTGAAGCAACTTAAACAGATTCATAGACATTTACTAAGTTCTACATTGCTTTAAAACTGATTAGGTAATAATAATAGTAATAATGTTGCTGTCTACCTAATCACGTAGTAGTCTTTCTTATACAGTAATCCAACTTTTCAGTAATATATCAGGTATGACTATGTACACTGTTTGACGAATTACTACAGATTACTTCGATTCAATATATATTTATCAATAAATGATAATTAATCTATGCTGTATTTTCTTTAATTTATAGAATATTTTCCTGCAGAATTATATCTTCTAACAAAATTAGAATCAATCAATGGAAATAATAATATTTTAACAAATTTTATTACACCTGGATCAATTGTTAATCTAAATGATTTGTCATGTTTACGCAATGTCAATTTAAGTCATAATCATTTAACGGAATTTCCTGTGGAATTATGTTTAAAATCAATACCGATTAATGTGATTGATTTGTCAAATAATCAAATTAGTATTATACCAAATGCTATTGGTTCATTACAAGTAAGATATATTTGTTTACTGGGATATTGATTGACAAGTTCGTCACTTAGTATGCTTGAGGCTATTACGAGTTTACCTTAGTCGATAAACGCGAACGAGACAATTACCAGCTAGCTTCCAGGGAGGCTACCTTGAATACCCAAGTCGAAATAGAAGGCTTTGTAAGCGTAGAAGTATATTCTACAAACACCCAGCAATCACAGTACAATCAAGCATACAACTCTCGTTTATTTATACAACGTAAGAACGTCCTTGAGACAGTTAAGAAAATAGCATACTAAAATACACTGCAGCCAATCACAGCCATGGATTTCGCTAGTGGGAATTGAAATCTCAAGGTCATCTGATCAGCCCATGCTGGCGAAACAACCAAAATACAAGCATTATCAGCGAATTTTGGGGATCTAATATCCCCAACATTATTTATATATTCGTTTGTACATATTCTATAAGTCCAGTCTTCATCTTGTTACATTTTTATTATTTCATAGATGTAAAGTGTGTGTGTGTGTGTAGCCTTGATTGTTACATTTGTTGTATATTTGCCTCATGAATCAGGAAAAAAATTCAACAGGAATGACAGGAAAAGCGGTAGTAATTATTCAATCAAACGATTAACCATTAAACCGACACAAGATACTTTTCCACTTTCCGATTTGATGTAATTCACTAGTCATTGACTTTTAAAATTGATGCTACGTTTTTAATGCGACCACGTTCAAAACTTTCTTCCAGTCTAGATAAACAATAGCCCAACTACTATTGACGGGTACTACCAGCTTCATGAAGTTACTTCTGGATTTTTCAACCCCTCTAGTTTTGACTTTCTAAACTTTTCTCATTGAATCATACTTCTTGAATAATATCTTCTAATCCTAACCTCTCAGATTACTTCTAATACATTTACTACCTCTTCTACTATTGGATTTGAATTAACAATTATATGTCTGTGCTGATGTGGTATAGCAACATGAACTGATGTACTTACGTACGAAGTTCTACGTTGCATCTGACTGACTGAGTTACTTACTATCCCTACCTAATAAATTACGCCTGGCTTTATTGCCTTTGTTTTGCTGTATACGGAAAATGTCCTTAAGGCTGTATATCGTCAAATACTAACAATCGACACATGCTACTAACGTTGCAAAGTTGTGTTCATAGCTGAAAACAACAATACAGAGCGAATTGTTATGCAGTATTTTTACTCTATAATAGGTAGACGAAAACTAGATACTGGTATTAGATGAATAATGTTATAGACTGAAATAATGTAGGATAATGCAAGATCCTTTTTTTGTGTCTTTGTAAAAGTGAGTCTACCTCTCCGAGGGAAAGTCTCATGGAGAGATTTTGGCTACATCGAGAGGATGATTCGAGAAATGGTAACTTCCAGGACTAACTTATGGGTTATTATCATATATATATATATATATATATATTCTAATTGTATAATTGTTAAATAACTATATGACCACATATTTATATTTACTTTGTCTTAAGCTTTTGATTAACTCATTAACTACTTTTGTGTGATTTATTGTTCTTAATCTATTGCTAGTTTATTACATACAGTCTCTCTTATTCATAGCCAGTTTTGGCTTTTTCATGTATAAATGTAGTTTATGGTATGATGTGTGGTCTGGCATACTTGCATATAAACTATGTGTGTTTGAAATATAGCGAGTTTTGTTGAGTCGTGGCTTGCGGACTTTTTGAATGAAAGGCAGGGCAGAGTGAGAGAAACCATCGAGTTGTAAACCAGTAGTGATTTAAAGCTGACTCACAGTTTTTAGTGCTGAACGTAATTCTCATTGGTATTTTGTATTTGCCACGTGATGGACTTAAATAATGGTTAGGGAGGGCTACAACAGATTTTCATTTAATCAGTGAAATCTGCTAACCCATCAAAGGTGTAAGTATTGATGTTTGCGGAAATGATAAATCTTAAACGTTTAATCAATTAAAATTCCATTGCTTGCATTACTTCACTTAATCCTTAATGTAATATTTATTGAAGCATATTCTAGTCACCTGAACACAAATACAGATTCATTATACTTTCGTAAATGAGAGCATTTTAATTTTAGCCTACACTTGCTGAACGTTTCACTGCCATTATAGAAATCACGGAAACATTTACTGCATATAATGGCTATAATAACTATTATTATTCACTGATTACCAGATTCATAGATTCATGTACTTGGCTCCAAACCATAGGTTGAACATAAAACCTAATGATACAACCGGTTTCGTAAACTGAATAAAGTAGGTGGGGGGCACAGTTCGATTCTGTAAGTTAATTAATATAATGACCAAATTGTATTTATTCTGTTATCTTCAATCTATCTAATCACGTTAATATTTTGTTCTTATCTTCTTAACAGGCCATTGAAATTAATTTGAATTCCAATAAAATATCAGTTATATCTAAATGTATTGCACAATGTGAACGTTTAAAAGTTTTACGCTTAGATCATAATTGTTTACGATTAGAAAATTTCCCAATTGAATTATTAACTGAATCACAAGTTTCATTATTATGTATCAATGAGAATTTATTCAATATGAAAGATTTTTATAATTTACCTGGTTATTCAAAGGTTAGTTTCATGTTAGTATTGTTGTGATTATTCTTATTATCAGTAGTAGTAGTAGTAGTATAGTGAAGGAGAACACAGGTGAAGGCAACCGAATTGTATTTAACGAAAATTACAGAGTTACTCAGTAAAATAATAGGAAAACCATATCGTAAATCGTTAATTTGCAAAATATCAGTCCATCATATCTAACTGAGCTGTTCCTGTTGCAAAACATCAATCCATTGTTACTATTCATGCGTTTCATACAAATTCCATTGTCTTCTAACTCTTCCTTTCGTGATCTTCCACCATCTTCTGCTGCCAGACATTACGTTGACACTCACGTCATATACTACTTATAAGTAGCTCGCACCACAGTAGTATCTTTTAAATTGTGATTCTCCATCCAGGCATTATATATATATATATATATATATATATATATATATATACAACGCATCACTTCAAAATTTTAATGAATGATTGAACATTTCAAGTGATTTTAATAAATCAACCTACTAATTTTTCATCAAACAATTATAGAGATAGTTGTTCATCATTAAAATCATGAATGAATCATTGTTAGACCACAGCATTAGAAACTTGGAAGCACTGTATGGCCGTCAAGTCCCTAGTATGAAACTCATCAGAGGCAGTGCGCATCCACGACTACTGCTACCCGCCGGACCTTCGGGTTTGAGCGCGAACGCCTAATCTCTAGACCACTGAGTCGTTATCATTGGTTCATGATTTCAATAATAAACAGATATATATATATATATTCCACACCCTTAGCAAAGGGAAGCCATTTCTCGACCAATGATATGCATTTTTTTAATGATCATCATATGACCTTCTCATTTGGCCACTTTTGATTGGCCTACTATCACTAACATAAACATACATATTAGAAAGGAGGAGCATAACATCTATAATTCAATAATTTAGTTATATTTGTTAGTTACTCTATTGATTTAATAAAATAATATACAAAGCACTAAATTATTACTTAATTATTCTCTAAACTACTGACAATTCCAATATAATCAGATTTACTTACTATGAATAAATATTTCAAGTAAATATATCATCTCAATCAGTCAGTTGCAACGTAGAACTTCGTACGTATGTACATAAGTTCATGTTGCCATACCACATTAGCACAGAGACGCAAATGTCAAAGCAAACCCCGTAGTGATAAAGATAGTAGAGGTATTAATGGTAATGAAGAAGACTAGGGTTTAAAGATATTATTCAAAAAGTATATAATTCAGTGAGATAAGGTTAGAAAGACAAAGGTAGAGGTGCTCACGAATCCAGAAGATTAGGATTTGAGAGAGCACAACGAATGGATGCATTTGCGCCATTGCAAACGATTTTGAGCCATGTCGTTCAAGGTCTCTAACCATTCGTGACTTTCGTCTCGCGGACCCCAACCAGGTAGTCTACATCTACCAACATGACTCAGTCCACTTGTCAGTGACTTCATGCATTTGTGCCATGTTTTGGTTTGGCCGCCCCTAGCTTCCTTCCAATCTACTCCTACACCATAAAACATAGCTCGCCAAGGCAGTCGGTGGTTAGCCATGCGCAACACATGTCCCAACCACCTCAACTGATGAAGTTTCAATACTTCATCTATTGATCTGCCATTGTTACCTAGAACTCGTTTGCTAACGATACCATTGCTTACTCGGTTAAATATATCATCTCTCATTGTATAGTTTAATGTCTTTATAATTATTGGAGTTGATGCATAAAATACAACTTCATTGAAAAATGTCTTAAATTGTTCACTACATTGAGTGATATTTGTCTTGTTCCATTGAACAATTAAGAGTTTTTGTCACAGTTATATTTATTTTAGTTACACATTTTGAAACCATGAATCGATCAATGTTAGACCACAGCATTAGAAACCTGGAAGCACTGGACGGCCGTTTCATTCTGGTAGGGGACTCATCAGTGGCAGTGCGCATCCGCGACTCCTGCACCTCACAGGATTCGAATCCAGGACCTTCGGTATTGTGCACGAACGTCTAACCTCTGGACCACTGAGTCGGTATCTAACGGTGTTAATGTCTAATTTGATTCATAGTTTCAAAATGTGTAACTTCGCAATCTTCACAACGACGTAATAAATTTATTTTAGTAACATATAAACATTTTGAAAAGATATTACAACAGACTCTTAGTCACTTGTGACAGTGATTTCACTTCAGTTAATTGTGCACACATTTGTGATGGTATTTATTTGTCTTTCGTGTTATGACACTACTATAACCAACCAACCAACCAACTAATTCAATCTTTTTTCTTGTTGATTTTTTCTAGTATATGGAACGTTTTACAGCAACAAAGAAAAAAGCTGCTTAAAAGAAAAAGATTTTTTTTAAAGAAAAAACTGCACACAATTCTTCTTGGTAGAAATCAATTGCAACTAGTCCACTGATCATGTGCTATCTGTGACTAAATAACTAACTAACTAATTGTCGCTTCGCTAACTTTTCACATATGTATACATAGATATATATATGTGCCTGCATGTGTGTGTGTATGAGATCATGATTTCATAAACTACAATTATTGAGAATTAACAAACTGTTTACCAAATACCAATTCACCCCCCCTCCTTCTACTTGTCTATTTTTAATTTTCTCTTATTTCTTTCTGTCAATTATTATGTTTGTTTGTTTTTTCTCGAAAAGAAATATATTTACACAAGTTGTTTCTTTATAGTAGTATGAAAGAATACAATGTTGAGTAATATAGTTTATTATTATTAATAATTAACTAGTTTACTGTTCGATGCCTTGAGGATGGATCGATAGTGAACGGAGTTCTCTCTCCTTATCGAAATGCTTTCATATGGTCACACGTATATAGCCCATTGTCAGAGAAGTTCTATTCACTACCTCTTCGTGGTGTATATGATATTAGGAGGTCGGAAAACAAGGTTTAGGCGCTTAAATAGGGTTGTTAAGTACGGAGATCCACTTAAGGGAGAGTAGAAAGACCTTGATTCCAAACCAATAAGAACGATGAACATGAGCTCTAAGATTCTAACGGAACAAATGGTATACGAACTTATTGTTATTTATCGGCTACCATGGAACCGCATCTCCTAATGTTGCTCTAATGCCTTGTGGATTAGGTCTGTAGATCAATGACTCGGAGAGTGGTCACCTACGAAAACCACCTTGTTCAACTGGAGCACACATACACAAATTCAATGATTTGCATGACATAGACATATTGAGATGCCGATTATATACCAATGTTTATGTGTATAAATAAATAATTCTTTCTGTAGGCACGATCAATCCGAGATTCATTTGAATAATACTACTTTTACAAGGAACTAACAATTTGCAAGCTTCAAATTGTTATACACGTGTCAAGAAGTTAATTAATTGTGCCATGAAAAATATAACTCGATAATAAGTATATCTCTTAGATAAGTGTTAGGATATTCATCCAATATCCTAAGAGAATTATTGGTCAATCCCTGTTGATTAATTCTTACTGGTCTATTTTATGGTCGTCCTAGATATCAAAATCACGTGCTCCAATGTTGTTTGTTATTGGTTGTCCTGACTATCAATGTTACTTCCTATTGGTCGTCTTAACTGTGAATGTCACAGACTTCGATGCTGTTTCTCATTCGACCAAAATGTATAAATACGCATTATCTATAACATTTTAGGACCAGGACCTGGATCCCTAGTCCGGGATCCTGATTCTCTTCTGCATTCGGACCTCGTACTTTCTGGATGCTTGTAGCATACAGGTTCTACTTCAAATCATGTCTTCTTATTTTCATTCAATATAGGGGTTGGAATAATCGGGTTTGTGTAGCATGTCGTGTCCTCGGATCCTCGCTCTCGTTTTCCGACTAGGTAAACTCGTAATAGTTCAAGTATATCAAAATGACGTGTTTAAGTGCAGACGTAACAATAAGTAAATAAGGAGACGGTCTTATTAAATAGGAAATATCATTAAAAAATAATTAAGCAAACTAGTTAGCTTGAAATGTACACATGATGACAAGTGTAAAAACACTGTGGGCTTGAATCAATATGTTTCATATAAAAAGAAGTAGGTCAACAATTTGGCTAGTTGGACACTGAGATAAAAATCCACTAAAAATTATAAATATCATATAATAAATGTTCAGATAATTTGGCGGGTGGAGCGTATATCTGAAAAAAGAGGGTGAAGAAAAATAACTGAACATAGTGTATGGAAAGTAAAAAGCTAATTCGACCAAGGAAGAGATAGAAGCATAACAACTTTCTTATGAACACAAAAATTTGGATTGTTAACTTGAATCTCTATAATTTCTGCTTATGTGTACGAGACAAGAATGAACCATAATAGGAAAGCTAGTTACTAACTTACTTACACCTTTTACCCCTAATAGAGCATAGGCAGCCGGTCAGCAATCTCCAACCTACTCTATCTTGGGTCTTCCTTTCTAGTTCTGTCCAATTATTGCTCATTCTTCTCATGTCTGTCAACATTTTTCAGCGTAATGTGTTCTTTATGCTTGAGGGTTCTAAGTTAGGACTTGCCTTGTGACGCAGTTGGATGCTTTATTCACTGTATGTTCTATACACTTCAAGCTAGTTTCCACTGATTTATTTCTATCTGCTGCATGATCACAATCGATCAAGTATGACAGAACTGAGCTATGTATTGTTTATGAGTATATCCATTCCTTACAACAAAGGTAGAGCTGTGTCACTAACTTGTTGATCCAATAGTCCAGTTATGTAATCTACTCCACTAATATTACAAAACAATCATGATTGAGCTTAATAATTTCATATTAGAGTTAAGAGCCTTGATTGTAAAAAAAATCATTGTTCTCTGCTAATACGTATTATTATTTTTGAAACAAAAAAGCAAAATCATTTACACATTCATTATATTCATATTAAAACTCATCATTATGCGAGATCACATTCAATAACGTGTATAATCGATATGGTGGTAGAACAAAATACACTGACTGTTGTTGGTGTTGGTGTTCATAAAATCGATTGTCATCATTATCATTCTTGAAATGAATCTGTTTCAATCGCCAATATTCACTAAAAGTAGACGGTGATGCTGATGTTGTTGATGTTGTTTTAATGAACTGATGTTGATAACAAGATCGTGATATATTATTCTTCGATTTATGTTTCAATATGAAACGACAATTTCTTAAAAATGTTGATGAATTCAAATAAGTTTTTAATGCATATTTCATTGCGAGTAAATAATTGTTGCCTTTATTTGAATGAAGCAGTAGTCCATATGAAAATGAGGTTGTTGAAGATGAACTACTACTACTATTGAATGACAATGATGAAGTGTTGTTGCTGTTGTTGGAATATTCAGAAATTCCTCTATTCTCATTGTTAAATTCATAAAAATTCAATGATAAATCAACAACACCACTGTGATGTAATAAACATTGCCATTCATAGCATAATCTTTTCCAAATTAAACAATTTAATCCTAACAAAAGACGTGCTAATTCTAAATTATCATTGTGATTATTACTATTTGGACAAGAAATATTGTTAGATGTTGACGAAGAAGAAGAAGAAGAAGAAGAGGACATGTTGATAAATGGATGACCTAATTGAACTAGTGCACTACCACTACCATCAGTAATTACAAATCGTATACAAATGCCTAAATTAGAAAATTCATTATTTCCTAAAATTGGAGAAAAAAAAATGGAAAAACAACAATTGATCAATGTTCAATCAAGTAAGCAAAGTATTGAATATTGAATTGTAAATTGAAAAATAAAAGAAGAAGTGGTTTTTCAACACATTAGATACAATTCAATTGTTGT